AGAGTTTGGCCGCGGTGGTGGCAGCGGCGGTGGCCTCGGCTCGCTCACAGGTGCTAGGGGTCCGGTGCCTTCGGGGAAGCGGATCGTTTTGAGCGGTGAGGACGGCGGGAGGAGGAGAGGAGAGGTCCCGGGGACCCACGGAACCGCGGACCCCCTTTTCGGGAGGAGGAAATCGTGAGTAACTCCATCAAATAGGGCAGGTGGAGGAGCGGAGCGCCCCTCCCCCCCAGCGGATCGCTGCTCGCTCTGGTGGAGAGAGAGAGAGAGAGAGAGAGAGAGAGAGAGAGAGAGAGAGAGAGAGAGAGAGAGAAAAGGCTCGGGCTTTTCATCATTTTCCATTTCTAAACAGACCTATTGTGTCTTCCGCCTGGGCGACCGCCGAGGAGACACGGGTGTGTGCAAGGCTCGGCGCTCTTGAGAAAAATGAATGATGCAGCATTTTAATTATGTTCCAGGGGGGTGGGGGAGAGTTTTGCTTCCATATTGGAATAGTTAATGTTGCATGTGTGCAAGGGAGTGGGGCTGGGGGGGGGGCCAGGCAGAGGGGAGGGGGAGCGGGAGGAGACGGGTCCACTGGGGGAGAAAGGGCTTCTTGTCCTCCCCGTGGACAAATGACGCCGGGCGCTCCCAGCAGGAAGCAGCGGACTAACCCAGAGATTCTCCCCCCCTCCCCCTTCATCCCAACTTTTGGAGCTCTTCCTATCGCCCAGACACGCTGTACTGAGATCAAGGAGAGGACATGGGTGAGATGTCCTTTAGGATGGGGCTCAGATCAAGAGCCTGGAGTGGGAGGTGGGGGGTGGTTGGTTATAGTTCAAGATCAAATGATTGCAGAGGGGCCTTGACTATCTCTGGGATGCTTATGCTGATGGAAGTCTCCCATCCATTCCATAGCATCATGGGCTGCCTTAGCATCCGTGAGACAGTTACCACCCCTGCACATCGGGTACAAAAGGTGGTGTGTGTGTGTGTGTGTGTGTGTGTGTGTGTGTGTGCTCGCGCGCCTGCGTGGGAGGGGGAGGTTGGCAGCTGGTGATGGAGATGGGTTGCTCTGGTTCTGAGCTCAGGCTGCTGGGGCTGGCCTGAGAGGCTCTCTGAGAAACAGGGTGGGTCTGGAATATTGAGGACGTGGTATATATAGCGGAATCCTGCCCACCTGCTTACTTGGTCTCTGATCGCTGCTTCCAGGCTTAGCTACCATGGAGCCATGGGTACGTGGCCTTTTTAAATGCACAATCTCAGGCAAGTGGGCTGTGACTGACATGAAAGGGCCATGCTGTTGACTTAAGGGATTTGCATATATATTTTAGGATGTAAGACATAGACACATGCACTGTGTTTTTCTTTAAAGTCTGTTTTTTTGTTTGTTTGTTTTTTGTGTGTTTTTTTTTGTAAAAAGAACTTGAAGGGAAAGCCACCTCTACTGCCTAACTTTGAGCCCTCGGGCAATTGAGGTTCAGTCGTTCCATTGAGGATTTTAGCCACCAGAGTCCCTCCCTTCCCCCTGAGTTGGTGACAGGATTGGTGTGTGTGTGTGTTGGGGGGCCCGGGGGGGGGGGGCGGGGAGGAGGGAGGCAGGAGGTGTGCATCCATGATGGATGCCCAGTTTCCACTAGCTAAGTGGACTGGCTTGCTGCACACTTGCCCCTATCCAGTTTCTCCATGAAGAGGCATTTTGTTCGCCAGCAGAGAGGACTGTAGAGCTGTCAGCTGAGCTTTATAAAAAAAAAAAAAAAAAAAAAAAAAAAAAGTTCCTCATTCCAGGGTTCCTGGGAACTGTAATCTGGTAGCCCCTCAGTACTGCAGGTCCTTTTGAGCATCATATCCCCATCTCATAACTCTCTACCATCCACTCTCCCAAAATAGTTGGGCCAAATAGGTATTCTATTCCCCTACCACCCACCCCCATTCCTGCGAGGTCTTCCCCAGCGGAAGCAAGTGAAATGGGTCCTTGTTACCCAAGTGCTCTCCATCTCCTTCAGGAACGTGGGTTTCTCTCTGTCAGTAAAAAGGTAGCAGGAAGCACATGGTTGTTGAGCTCAGTGGCAATCCGAGGCTTTGAGCTGCAGCACAATAGAAGGATTCCTGGTGCAAAGAGATCGAAGCAAAATGCAGGGTAAACTCTGTCCAAGTCGCTCGCGTGCCTGAGCTCTTATTCGGGACACCCAAGCAGAATTAGCTAGCTTCAGCCCTTCTGTTTCCGAGACCTGGGTTTTCCTTCATCCCTGTCTTTGCAGAGAAGTGCCTGTGCTGTGAAAAGGATAATTCTGAAAGGTAGTCATAGTTTTGAACCTGTCTCCACTGGAGAAAGGAGCTTTGGGGACTGGCGGAGCAAACCACTCAGGCAATAGTTTCCTTGAGAGTTAAGGAAAGAAAAAGAAAAAGAAAAATGTCTATAGCTCTCTCCCCTAGCATTTCCACCTTTTCCCACCAAAGGAATGTTTCCTGGTAGGTTGGTCCTTCTTCCTTCTGTTTCTTATTTTGACCATTTATCTTGATTCCCTCCACTTATTTTCTCTCTGCTTACACACACACACACACACACACACACACACACACACACACACACACACTTTAGTCCTGGCTTCCTAGTGCTCATGCCTGGCCACATGCTAAGTGCATTCCCCTTCCTGTTGGAGCCCCTTTTTCCGTGATGTGGAAAGCCATGGAAAGTTGGTTCCAGGGTTACAGCACATATTGGGCCAGGGGAAAGCCAAGGAGAGAGAAGTCTGAGGTTCAGCCCTGTGACCGAGCCTGTCTTCCTCCCTGCCTTCCTCCCAGTGTCCAACTCCGTGAGGAGCGGCTGGTACCCACAGAAAGCAGCCTCTGCAGCGGCAGCGGCAGCAACTACAGCGAGGCTGGGAGCCTGCAGCAGCCCCTTCTCCTTCCTCCTCGCTGAGTGTGCCAAGTGGCAGTTCTGCATCCAAAAGGAGCCCATTGAAAGGCCCATTGCATTCCCAGCACGTCTCCAGCTGGCTGCCTTTGCCTTTTTTATTTATTTTTTTTATCTTAGTCTATCCCCCCACCCCATCTCCCATTTATACCCCTTTGCTTCAGCTTCAGCAGAAGGAAGGGAGGGAGAAGGAGAGAAAGAATCCTTAAACTCAAGCCTTTCTTTCTCCCCCAATGCCCCCCAATGCTCCCCACAATGTCCAAAGACTGACTTACATATATATGTGTATATATATATATATATATATAGATATATATATATATATATCCTGCAAAATAGGTAAGTCAAAGACATCTGAAGTCTTGTTTACCTAAATCACAGGAACCTCAAAAATAAAATAAAACATTTAAAATTAAAAAAATGGAGAAGAAAGAGCTTCAGTAGATTTTAATATTTTATAAGGGAGACTAACTGATACTGCAATGGAGCCTCATCTGCCTTCTCTCTCCACCCCCCTCTTTTTCATTTAATTGTTTCTAAAAATTGAGTATTGAATTGCCTGAGGCAGATTCCTCTTTGCTTTCTCACTGGTTCTCCTCTCCTTACAGCTGTGTACAGACTGTGCAAGTTGGCTGTGAAGATTTATCCTTTTCATTCTCCCTATAAATTATAACATTATGCTTTAAGTTAGAAGGTTGCCTGAATATTTCCTTAATGCATGTATCCAAGTGTGGAGAGGAAATATATGTGGAAAAAAAAAACAAAACACCCAGTTTATTTTTATTGATTAAAAACAACCCTTCCATTTCAATGGACAGGTCAGTGACTCCTAAAGGGCAATGTAATAAAGCTGCATTATTATAATTTATGTATGTATGCATTTTCATACACCGATGACATTAGGCAAGGGGGAAAATGCCATAGGGAGGCTCTGTATTTATTATTAGCACGGTGAATTGTATTTGTTTCTTTGGTTTAAAAAAAAAAATGACATGTTTCCTTGAAATGTATCTCATGTGATGGATCATTCATCAGCAGGTATGTGTCAAGGTTCCCCCCCTTTCGTGCCTTTAACTACTCTAAACAGCCACCTGCCGTTCCAGTTCCAGCTTTTGACAGGGTTCTTGAGATGATCAGGAAAGCACAGATGAGCTGTTAATACAGACACTCCCAGGTCCAGCACCCTTCCCCTGTCATTCTCTTTAGTGCATGGACTTGTTCTTTAGAAAGGCTAATCACCGCTGAAAGGTGTAGTCAAATGATGCATATGTATAGAAAATACTTAATTAGAGGACACATCAATAATCTGTGTTTGGGCAAAGGGAGTGGAGGTACAGTTTGTTACAGAGCAGACATGATAAGCATGATGTGGTAATTTCTTAGGAGAAATCTTACGTTTTCCTGAGCTATCAATCATCTTATGCATCCCAACATCGGATAGTTGGACAATGAGCTCATATTCTATCATACTCTTTAATCAAATAACTTTTATTTTAATCGTGTATTTTCATGAGAAGAAACCTATAATTTAGAGAACATTTTTTTTCCCCATCAGAGTTTCAATCAGATGGAGCAGTGAGCTCATACTTCCTCACACTCTTTAATAACATGTCTTTTCATGAGTAGAAAATTATAATTTAAAGAACTTTTTTTTTCCTCATCTGAGTTCCAATCAGATCTATAATGGGCACCTCTGATGCCAATGTGAGTTTTAACAGGCGAGCCGGTGTAATGGCCAAACGATTGCCATTACTACTGAATTTGCCTATATTTAAATGCATTGCTTACCAATTCCCTTGCTTGCTATAAGCTTGTAACGAAGGCTTACCATGAAGGCTTCTTTTATTGGTTTGACTTGCCCTTTCCCAGGTATGGCTGGGTAATGTCCTCACATGGTGCAATATTTCTGATTCCTAATTTTAAAATATGGGGCGACGTGGGCATGTTGATGGGTCTTTTGAAATGTCAGTTCAACGACGGCTAAGCTTTTGACTTCCCTCTTTGAAAAGCCCCGATGTAGGAGGAGTCAATGAGAATAGTGCGTCTGACTAACAGCTAAAAACCTGCGTCTTTATTTCTGTTGCAGTTTTGTAATCAACCACGAAGGATGAAACCTTCCATAGCCGAGCTGCTCCGCCGAGGGAAGATGCTGTGGATTATTCTTCTAAGCACAATTGCTCTGGGATGGACTACCCCGATCCCCCTGATCGAGGACTCGGAGGAAATAGATGAGCCCTGTTTTGATCCTTGCTACTGTGAAGTCAAAGAAAGCCTCTTTCATATCCATTGTGACAGCAAAGGATTTACAAATATCAGCCAGATCACCGAGTTCTGGTCCAGACCTTTCAAACTGTATCTGCAGAGGAATTCGATGAGGAAATTGTACACCAACAGTTTTCTTCATTTGAACAACGCCGTGTCCATTAACCTTGGGAACAATGCCTTGCAGGACATCCAAACGGGAGCTTTCAATGGTCTCAAGATTTTAAAGAGGCTGTATCTCCACGAGAACAAACTAGACGTCTTCAGAAACGACACTTTCCTGGGCTTGGAGAGCCTCGAGTATCTGCAGGCAGATTACAACGTCATCAAACGCATCGAGAGCGGTGCGTTCAGGAACCTGAGCAAACTGAGAGTGCTGATCTTAAATGACAATCTCATCCCCGTGCTTCCCACCAACTTGTTCAAGGCCGTCTCCTTAACGCATCTGGACCTGCGTGGGAACAGGCTGAAGGTCCTTTTCTATCGAGGGATGCTGGACCACATCGGCAGGAGCCTCATGGAGCTCCAGCTGGAGGAAAACCCCTGGAACTGCACATGCGAGATCGTGCAGCTCAAGAGCTGGCTGGAGCGCATTCCCTACACGGCCCTGGTGGGAGACATTACCTGCGAGACCCCCTTCCACTTCCACGGGAAGGACCTGCGAGAGATCCGGAAGGCAGAACTCTGCCCCTTGTTGTCCGACTCGGAGGTGGAGGCCAGCCTGGGGATCCCCCACCTGTCCTCCAACAAAGAGCACGCGTGGCCTACCAAGCCTTCCTCCATGTTGTCCTCTGTCCACTTCACCGCTTCTTCGGTCGAATACAAGGCTTCCAATAAGCAGCCCAAGCCCACCAAGCAGCCCCGGACGCCGAGGCCTCCCTCCACCTCCCAAGCTTTCTATCCTGGTCCCAACCAACCTCCCATCGCCCCCTACCAGACCAGGCCGCCCATCCCCATCATATGCCCCACGGGGTGTACGTGTAACTTGCACATCAATGACCTTGGCTTGACAGTCAACTGCAAAGAGCGGGGATTTAACAACATCTCCGAGCTTCTCCCGCGGCCGCTCAACGCCAAGAAGCTCTACCTGAGCAGCAACCTGATTCAGAAGATCTACCGCTCCGACTTCTGGAATTTCTCCTCCTTGGATCTCTTGCACCTGGGGAACAACCGCATCTCGTACGTCCAGGACGGGGCCTTCATCAACCTGCCCAACCTGAAGAGCCTCTTCCTCAACGGCAACGACATCGAGAAGCTGACCCCGGGCATGTTCCGGGGCCTGCAGAGCTTGCACTACCTGTACTTCGAGTTCAACGTCATCCGGGAGATCCAGCCCGCCGCCTTCAGCCTCATGCCCAACCTGAAGCTGCTCTTCCTCAACAACAACCTGCTGCGGACGCTGCCCACGGACGCCTTCGCGGGCACCTCCCTGGCGCGGCTCAACCTGAGAAAGAACTACTTCCTCTACCTGCCCGTGGCCGGGGTCCTGGAGCACCTCAACGCCATCGTGCAGATCGACCTCAACGAGAACCCCTGGGACTGCACCTGCGACCTGGTCCCCTTCAAGCAGTGGATCGACACCATCAGCTCGGTCAGCGTGGTGGGGGAGGTGCTGTGCCGGAGCCCCGAGAACCTCACGCACCGGGACGTGCGCACCGTGGAGCTGGAGGTGCTCTGTCCCGAGATGATGCACACAGCCCCGGCGGCTGGAGCATCCCCGGCGAACCCCGGGGACCCTCACCTCCAGGGGGCGCCCACGAGCGCCTCGCCCTATGAGTTCTCGCCCCCGGAGGGCCCGGTGCCCCTCTCCGTGCTCATCCTCAGCCTGCTGGTCCTGTTCTTCTCCGCCGTCTTCGTGGCGGCGGGCCTCTTTGCCTACGTGCTCCGCCGGCGCAGGAAGAAGCTGCCCTTCAGAAGCAAGAGGCAGGAAGGCGGCGTGGACCTCACGGGCATCCAGATGCAATGCCACCGGCTCTTCGAGGACGGGGGAGGCGGCGGCGGCGGCGGCGGCGGAGGTGGAGGAGGAGGTGGAGGCGGTCGGCCCACCCTCTCCTCCCCAGAGAAGGCCCCTCCCGGGGGCCACGTGTACGAGTACATCCCGCACCCCGTGACCCAGATGTGCAACAACCCCATCTACAAGCCCCGCGAGGAGGAGGAGGCGGAGGCAGCAGCATCAGCAGCGGTGGTGGCAGGAGTGTCCTCAGGGCAGGAGGCGGCGGCGGCGGCGGGGAGCTCAGAACGCGGGGGGCCCGGCCCCCAACCCCCACCCCCCGCCCTGGGCGAGGCGCTCCTGGGGGGTGAGCAGCCGTTCGGGGAGCCCCCCAAGGAGAACCACCACAGCCACTACCGGACCTTGCTGGAGAAGGAGAAGGAGTGGGCCCTGGCCGTGTCCAGCTCCCAGCTCAACACCATCGTGACGGGGAGTCACCACCACCCGCACCCCCTGCACCACCGCCCGGCAGCGGCGGGGGCAGCAGCAGGGGCAGGAGCAGGGGCCGTGGTGGTGGCCGGGGTGGTGCCAGGACCTGGGGCAGACCTGGCCGGGTTCCGCCACCACGAGAAGAACGGCGGGGTGGTGCTGTTCCCCCCCGGGGGCGCGGGCAGCCTGCTGCTGGACCACCGGGAGCGGCCGCCGCCCGCGCCCTGCGGCGTGGGCTTCGTGGACTGCCTGTACGGCACGGTGCCCAAGTTGAAGGAACTGCACCTGCACGCCCCGGGCATGCAGTACCCAGACTTGCAGCAGGACGCCAGGCTGAAGGAAACCCTGCTCTTCTCGGCCGGCAAGGGCTTCCCGGACCACCAACCCCCCAAAAACGATTACCTCGAGTTAAGGGCCAAACTCCAAACCAAGCCGGATTACCTCGAAGTCCTGGAGAAGACAGCCTATAGGTTCTAACAGAGAGAGAAGAAAGAAAAAAAAAATAAATAATAATACACATATATGACGACTGGGGTTTTTGTTTGTTTCTGTTTGGTTTGTTTGGTTTCTTCAAAAGCAAAGGAGCCTGGAAGAGAGATACAGATCCCCTGCCCCCTTTGACACGGCCCCCCTCCCAAGAAGTCCATTCTCACCACCGTTCCTGCCCTTGAACGGAACCCACACGCCGCATGGAAACTAGAAAATACAAGACAGTGTGCGCTCCCCCTCTCCTCCGACGTGATCCCGAGGGGAAAGGGCCACGCTGAGATCATTAATCAATGAAGTGCCTTCGCAGACTTTTGCCAGCAAATGTTACCATTATTTTTTTTATACTGAAACTTGAGACTCTTGACTGTGCCATGTATAAGGTATATTGGGGATCGTTGTATTGATCCTGATTAAGTAAAAATTCAATGTATCCTTTTTATTTTCGGTAACTTTTCTCTTCCTCCTTCTCCTCTCCCCTCCCCCCCGCTCCCCCCCCCCCCCCCCCCCCAAATTGAGTTCTGTTCAACAGGGAGCGGAGAACACAAATTGACATCCGTGGCCCTCTTTCCTCTTCCCACCATGGCACAGATCCTGTACATGTATTACCAATGCAGTTTGCTGCATGCCTGGAAACTGCAAGACTGGGGAGGGAGGGGGCGGGTCTTGCTCGAATGTTCTCACCCACTCTTTTTTCTCTCCCACGCATACCCACAGGCAAGTCACAAACCCCAGCCCACAGGTCCCTGAACCTGCAGCCTGAACCCTCTTGCTTCTGGTGCAGGTATACGTGTGTGTACACACACACACACACACACGCACACACACGCACACACGATACCCCTCCCACTCAAATCAATGTAATTATTTCGGGTTTGATCCATTTGTCTCCTCCCCATAGCTCTGCCTTCCCTTCCACCCTAGTGTATAGCTCACAACATCTCTTCTGCCATCCGGGAAAAGGCCCTGTGCAAGGCTGGAGCCCACGGCAGTGGGAGGCCTGGTGGTGGTTTCCCAGCCTGAGGCTTTTACCTAGGGAGGAGCCTCCTCTTTGTGACACTTCATCCTGATGCCAAGATATTTTGGAGAACATCTGCACTTTCTTATATAAATATATAATATTAAAAAAAAAAAAAACACCACCACAAAAACAAACAAACAAACAAAAAAGCAACTGGTATATATCACTAACAGCTTTGTAGGAAGCAACTTTTAATGTTTTCTCTCACACACAGATTCGAAAGAAATGTGCATATATTTATTCTGTAATTTCAGTTATAAATTGTAAAAGTAATGTTTAATCATTGTATAGTGATTATGCGTCCGGTATAGCTTTCCTAATAAAACGTTTTTGAAAAAAAAAACAAAAAAAAAACATAATACATTATATATAGAGGATACAGAGCTTGAACCTTAAATTCCAGCTATGCCATGCCTTTCTCGGTCACATTAAAAAAGAATCTTTCTTTTCCTTATTCTACAGAAGGCTAGTTTGTTAACAAGTTTGATGCACTGTGATGTTGATAAATCTTATCCCCTCCCTGCCACCCCATCCCATACCAGGATACAATTGGGACTTTAAAAAAATCTGATTTATTTATTTACTTCTTGTCTCTTGGATTATGTATTTCAAACATAGTACCCCAACGATGCACCACCTTTCCTAGGCAGGATGTAATTGGGGGGAAAATAAGGTAACCAGATTGCTAAGACGTATGGAATTAATTAAGAGGAGGCAATCAAGGATCCAGGCATCTTAAGAGAGTGAATGACTAAAAGGAAAAGAAAAATTGCACTAAAGTTACACACACTTGCACACACCCAGATAAAAAAAATCAAAGGCCTCGGAGCCCATTGCAATTGTCAGAATCCTGTTATCTGTGGAAGTTGTCACATACTTAGCTACTGGTTTTGCCAACCACACACTGCAACTGGCCCCAGTCATGCTTGAACTAAGACAGAGGATGTTGGATGGATTTTTCGTCCTTTATGACACAAAAAAAATGATGTTTCTAAATGAATCTGACAGTAATCCAAGTTGTGATCCATTTACATGTGAGCGAAACCAAAGAAAATCGGATTTTTAAGGTGCCAGTTTCTTCCTTATGAAAGAATACCACGCAGAGCTCGGGAGGCACTTATCTCATCGTGCCATTAGAGGGCAGCAGAGCTCCAGAGAGTCCTAGACCCTGAGCTGCAGAATTGTGCATTGACCCCCAGTGTTCTCGGCTAGTGTTTTCTCCAGCTGCCCTTAGTAGAAATTATCATTATGTGTTGAATGTAATTCACAAGTCACTGATGCCTTACATCCCATTTTTCCCCTTACAAAAGAAGACCAGCAGCTTCTAAAGCTGTGTAACAGAAATAAAACCAAGGCATTGTACTTAAAAAAAAAAAAAAAGCCCCGTAAATGTCTATGATATATTTATATATTTCTCAATTAGTTATCCATGGATATCAACATAGGTATGCATAAATTAAAAACAGGCACACAAAAGTAGATCAATATAAAAAGCAAATTTTCAGGGCTACTTTGCATTTGGCACATTGTACCTAAACCTTTTGTTCTCCAGTCGTTGAGGTATATTTTGGAATTGGTTCAGATGAAGAAAATCCCATGAGCAGGATTCACTATTTCTCTACATACAATATTGAAATGCAGCGCATCTTAGGCAAGAGAATCAGACCCATTGTTTAATAGGTGTTATTGTTCTTTTAAATTTTTTTCCTTTTCATTTTCCCATAAGTCATCTTTTCATAGTTATTGCGCTATCCTCATTCCTCATTCTTTTTTAAACCCTTCTTCTTTCTTAAAGTCTTTTCCTAAGGCACAGAAAGTCAGTACTAAACTTTGTTTTCAAACCTTATCTAGAGAGTCCCTCCAAATTAGTGATTTATTATGTTCCCATTCCTCTTAATTAAATATTTTAATGGATAGTAGAAAGCATGTGCATAATAAAAAAACTCAAAAGTGCAAGGCTAGATACTTCTGACAATATTCAACATTTTCTTTATAACTGTATACATTTATAACATGGTAAATTATACAAATCAGGTTTAAAGTGCAATCCCTAATGATCCTGGTGCTTTTGACATTTGAGAAATGAGTATCCATAAATCTTATTAAATTACAATATACCTTGATAATTACAATGTTTATATTTTATTTATTAAATACAGAAAGTAAGACTGTCTTAAATATAGGTAATAATTTTACCCTAGAGTGAGAAATAAATTTATTTAGTGAAAATAAATTTATATGAGAATGAAATTTTATAGTAAAGAAAATATTATTTTTTTTTGCATCCATGGAGTTTTCTACCCCTTGACTAAGTCGCTTATTTTTGCTGTGTATTAGAATTACTTAAGTTAATTTTAGTTTATAATACCAGATATGTTTTCTTAAAGTACCATGGGTATTATTAAGGTACTATGACTAGAACTTATTTCATGTTTTTTGTTTTTGTTTTTTGTTTTTTTGCTCTAGTAAAGTGCTTATTTTTGAGAAAATTGCACATTGCTATTCACTTCATAGTGATGGTGAATTTGAATAAGCAGACCTAAATCTAGTGGATATTTGTTAGTACTTCAATTGTTATTTTTTTAATAAATTTTAGTAATACTATTTAAAATAAAATGTATTGTAATGTCCCTGTAATTATGAGATGGTGAGTGGAATATGATTGAAAGTGAAATATTGGTTTGATTCAGTAATAGGTTTGACATATTACCATATACAGCTTTATTTATGTGGATGCTTATATATTCTTATTTTAAAAGCAGTATTATTTCTCTAATTGCAAAATACTAAAATATGATGATGATGACAACCATATTTTAAATAAAAGTTTAGAGAGAAATCACAAGAAAAAGTTTAATGACTGAATTTAAAAAGGTTTTTGGTTTTTTTTTTTACCTAGAAATGTTAGTTGTATAACCTTGATATCTGAAAATAATATTTGTGCTTAGCATTATGAACATTGATAATGCAAATGCAGAAGATAAGGATTTTAACTACTGAAATACATTATTTTGATTAGTTTAGTGCAACTTCATTGCTCATACAGTCCTATACTTTGGCAGTTATGTTGTATAAGCCAATAAATGTTGCATTTTTGTAAGATGGCCATGACAAAGAACACACTACTGAGAAGCTTCATAGTATGTGACACATGACTGTCAGGAGTCAAGATTATATGAGAGGAAATGGTAATAAAAGAATACTCAGTCTTAGGTTATTTGAGCTATAACTTATAATTAGCTCAAAATCCTTAACTATGATGAAATTTCAGGTGAACAGAGCATAAATAGTTATCACTAATTTCACCATATAAATATCCTGTTTAATATACTATAGGCCTTTTAAAAGCAATAGGAGCAATAACAATCATGTATGTGTGTGCGCGTGTGTGTGCATATACATATATATTGTACTATTATATATGTATATACGCTGTATATGCATGTATATAGTTTATATATCTGGATTATACTTACATGTAAATTAGGCATTTTTCTCACATGTATAAACAATTTCAGTTTTATGCATTTATTTTCCTTGTTTCTGTCTAGCTACTGTCCAACTGAAGCTGGTTGAAATTGTGAGTCTTCACTTTAGGAATAGTCACATGTAAAAAGTAACATTGTAATTAATATTTCTGAATTTAAGATTTATTTTACTTTTCAATTTTCTTCATTTTGTTATTTAAATCATAGAGGAGAAATTTCAGTCAAATTGTGATTTATTTTAAGTCTTGATAGTAAAGAAATTAATCTCTTATAAATATGCAACATAAGTCAAATGGAAAACAAGTGCTCCTTTTTCATTTTTCTATTTCTAGAATAAATTTTATAGGTGAAACAATTTCAGTAGATTTATTTGATAAGACCTTTGCAATTCATCTAGGTATCTAGAAAAAGTGAAATCTTGAAGGTCAATGTAAGAGAAGTAAAGAAACTATTTAATACATTCATCACCCTATTTTGCTTCT